CCAATTACGGTAATATTACGTTGCGTGTGACACCACCCTCAACATGGACAGACAGACAGATAGTCACTCGCTCACATATATCGATGGCTTTTAATGGTATACTTAAAATATTGAAAAGTTAACTATTAATAATTAATTTAGAGCTTTAAATTTGAAAATAAATATTTACCTTGGTTTGTAATTTAATTAAATTATGTTAATTTGACATTGACTACATAAGCCATTCTCTTCTTATGCGGTTCGAATTTACGCGGTCTTACTCGACAGGTAGTTGGGACTGGCTACCGTAATGAGCTTAAATATTTCGAATATATATTAATCTTAATTTGATTCTTATTTTTTTACAGATTATACGGGCCTTGAGGGATCGAACAGTGGACATGATGTGTAAAAACGACAAGACCCACCAGAGATTGAAAACACTCCCGGCGAATGAACGTAATGTGCTGACTCGTCAGATTATAGTAAACGACCAATACAGGTTTCTGTATTGCGCGGTTCCTAAAGTTGCCTGTTCAAATTGGAAACGGGTCATTCGGGTACTAAACGGTCAATGGGAAAAAGTGGACATGGGACGTAAAATGGACCACCGAAAAGGTTTCAGATTTCTTGCAAACTACTCAGATGATGAGATTGAGTATAGGCTAAAACATTATTATAAATTCATGTTCGTCCGGAATCCAATTACCCGCCTTTTGTCAGCTTACCGTGACAAATTTACCCGAACGAAAGTTTCATTCATTGAAAGATACGGAAAAAAGATTGCAAAAAAATATCGCCCCCTATGGGAGGTCACAGGAAACTCGTCTGACATCAAGATTACGTTCGGTGAATTTGTGAAATATTTGATTGACACTCCAACTAGTTTGATGGATCAGCACTGGCGTCCGATGTTTGAGATATGCCAGCCCTGCGCTGTCAACTACAGTTTCATTGGCTCAATCGAAAACCTTCACAACGACGTACAAACTATATTCAAAGATTTATCGGTACAGGACCTCGTACAATTTCCGAATATTCAAACATATTACAATGTTACGACATCTTCAATCATCCAAGAAGAACTTGCGAAGATTTCCGATGAAGATCTACGGCAGCTTATTTCAAAATACGCGCTGGATTTTGCGACATTTGCATATTCTGCGCCCAAATTATCTTTTTGATCAACAACAAAGCGGCGTTGACTGTAAAATACTTTATTTTAGCTGGAATTAATTTTCACTGAAAACACTGTTTGGGTGTTTTGTATGGAATTTATTTTCACTGATTTTTTACAAGTTGAATGTAAAATATAGGAAAACAGGTATATTCACTGGATTTTATTTGCATTGAATCATTCCTAGCGAAAATAGCGAAAATCAATTCCAAGCAAAAATAAAGTATTTTATAGTATATAAAAATACACCAAATCCAAACAGAAATAAATGATGACGCAGTCCAAATCTTTTACATCAGCAACCAGTGAGTTCTCGTTTTATAGTCCAATCAATTTGTGATGATGCTGATACCATTAAAAATATTATGGTCTGAGAATGTAATTAGAACGATGCACATCGGTGACCATAATTGAAAGCCACCATCTACGTCATATTGACGTCATTTTAGCGACTTGTCCATAGAGGACACAATTTATTCGGAAGGGGTCCTACACGACATAATCCCTAGCAATAACCTTGACGCGAGTCGAGATCATATCATATTTTAATCATATTGATTCAATGGATTCATGAATATTCAAGATAATTATTTCAAATAAAAAACAAACTTTTTTGTTGAAAATAAACGTCCGAATTTATGCGGTACGTATGAAACAACTTTCAAAAGATGTACAGTACATGTTAGTTTGTATACTGTATCATTTCCGTATTTAAATAATCTCAAACTTGGTTGGTATTTTGAAGACACAAAGACTTGTTTTTACCACACAAAAATACGTATAAGTTATTTGTATGGTTCCGCTTTGGTTTTGCAAATTTGGTAAAATAACTTAATCTTACGAAAACTGTACAACGGGTTTGGGTCTCTGGTTGGAAACATTATGTGAAGTATTATATGGTATAAATATGTAATAAACGTACATGTTCATGATTAAACGTACTATTGTTCCGGCTTTTTATTTCATTTGCTAACGCTTTTTTCATAAAACGTTGTTTATTATGGATGAATCCAGGCGAATAACCAATTTCCCGCAATTCGCTCAGGATCAAACGACTGAGTATTTCCAGCTTTACGAACGATCTTTTAGTGCAGCTTTAAAGGGCACTAGTCGAATTAGAATTTCTTGTAAACAAACAATCGAGACGTTTTATATGTGTTTTGTACATTGCAAAGAGTATCGACCACCACCACAACACTGTTCACTCAGCTGATTACTAGTGATTAAATTTGACCAATATTCAACACTTCTCACTCAGTTAGTAACTAGATTGGATTAAACATTCAACACTTTTTCACTCAGTTAGTGACTAGATTGCCTAAACATTCAACACTCCTCACTTAGTTAGTGACTAGATAGAACTAAACATTCAACACTTCTCACTCAGTTAGT